GGGGGAATTGCCCTGTTGCCTTCCCCCCAATCCACCAGTGATATATACAGCCCCTATGTGTGCCTTTTTGTCTCCCCCCAGTCACTCTGTATGTTTCTTTTCCCCCTCACTGCTCCTCTGTGTCCATGTCGCCCTTCTCCTTTCCAGTCTCCCCCTCCCCTTGTGTGTGTCACTCTCCTTTCCCCCTCTGCCTCTTCCCCCTTGTGTCTCTTTCTCCCCCCCTTTCCCTGTCTCTCCCCCACATCTCTCTTCCCCTCTGTCTCTTTTTCCTCCCTCCACCATCTCTCTATTCCCCCTCTTTCTCCCCCTGTGTCTCACTCTTCCCCCTCTGTCACTTTCTCCCTCTTTTCCCTGTGTCTATTCCCCCTCTGTTTTATTTTCCCCCTCCCCTTGTGTCTCTTCATTCCCAGTCTTCCCCCTTCCATTTACCTGAGAGGAGTCAGGGGTCCGGCCGCATTCCACGCTGGGTGGCAGCTTCGCCGGTCCAGCGGCACTCCTGTCACTAATGCTGAGGAGTGAGCACTGAAGGAGGATGGAGGAGCATGTCTCTCTAGGGGGCCGGCGGGCTGGCAGCCGCATTCCATAGTATGTGCTGGGAATTGTGGGAACTGCGAGGGAGCATGGTGTGCTGGGAATTGTGGGAACCGCGAGGGAGCATGGTAGAGAGACATGCTCCTCCTTTAGTGCTCACTCCTCAGCATTAGTGACAGGAATGCCGCCGGACTGGCGAGGCTGCCACCCGGCCCGGCGGCTCCAGCGTGGAATGCGGCCGCCAGCCCCCTCAGTGTGTGTGCCGCCGGACCGGCCACCCGGTGGCACATACATGCTCAGCGCAGCCCCCAGATGCCGCGGCCCACCGGGAAATTCCCCCCGGTATCCCAGTGGGCCAGTCCGGCCCTGATTATATACCATTTGTTTCTGGAGAAATAGGGTGCCATGTGCAGGTTTCATGGGGTTTTGAAAAGTTACAGGGTCATATAAAAAGCTTGCCCATTTTCAGTTTCTACACATTGAAATTTGCCAGATTCGTTTGCTGGGCCTATGCTGCCTTTGAGACAATATGGCAGCCCGGGAATGAGAATTACTGCCATCATGGCATACTATTTGAAAAAGAAGACAATCCAGGGTATTCAAAATGACCTTGTGACGCCAAAAGGTGTGTGCATGTCGATGACGTGATGACACACGCATTCACATTCGCATAATTTGTTCGCTGAGGAGGCGGAGCTATACACATGCTCCGTCGTGAAGCGGCTGCTGTATGTCAGTACACAACATCAACACTGGACCTTATTGGAGGCGGACAGGATCAGAATCCGCTGTATGGTTCGAAGCCGTTTGGGGTTGCAGCCAAGCATTCAGTGTGGTCACATCATTGCGCCTCTCTGGCGCTGTAACATATGGCTATTGGAGCTATACTAAAAACCTCCACTTGTTCAACTGTGTATAGGGATCTGGGATAGTGTGCAGGCACGCTAGTGTATGACAAACCCTGGAAATTCACAGTTCCCCTTTAAACCTGTAATGCTAAGAACCACAGTGAATTTACCAGGACCCCAAAAATTCTAAAAAGCCATATATCTCATGGCATTAATAATAATATTGGTACAGGGGTTTCCAAAGGGCCAAGAGAAAGAAAGCCTTACATACTTCTACGTATCTCTTCTATATCATATATCTCTTCTCCCAATGCTGTGGACTACATCTCCCATGATCCTCTTACAGCCATAATCCTGGCAAAGCAATGGGGTTGTAGTGCACATGAAGGTTGCCTACACCTTCTCTAGGGGTATAAAGTCAAGTTTTTGCCACGCACAGCTTATCATGTTAAAAGAATAGAGCACAAGAGTGGTAAAAGCTATGAAATTGTAGTAGATTATTATAATTCTACAACAAAATCACAAACACTAAATGGGTCATAAGGAACAAACTGAGCCTAAGTTTGTTAAATATTGTCCAAGATCAGTCATAAAAATATGTTATGAGAAAGAGCATGTTTAATGAATGGGTGTTGCCCTCAAATAAAGATCTTTACGAGCTGAGTAGATAAATAGCCTGCTCCTTGGGACAACTGGAAGAATGTCCAGATGTTTTTTTTCCAAAAATGGGCACAGATTTTTTAACTCCATGTAAGGTATTTTTTTTTTTAAATTGACAATTTTTATTGTTTCGTGCGGTGGGGGTACAGAAAGGAAGAAGGAGGGAGGGTAGGGGGGGAAGGGTGGACAGATTTCATCAATACATATTAACATATTAACAACTCTCATTCAGTTGACCATGAGTATTCAGGCTACTTATACCGTTCGTAGACGGTTTGTGACCAGAAGCCTTGTCTTGCACCTTTTGTGTGTCAGAGCGGGATGGGTGTGCTCCCCACTCGATCCCTTATGGGAACTAACAGGAGGGGTCTCATCCTCGCTCTCTATTCACTCAAATGGCAGATGAAATTTAATGTTGAAAAATGCAAAGTTATGCACTTCGGCGTAAAGAATACACAAGCAACGTATACCCTTAATGGAAGCGAATTAGGGATAACAACACATGAAAAGGACTTGGGAATTGTTATAGACAACAAACTATGCAACAATGTACAATGTCAATCAGCAGTGGCCAAGGCCAGTAAGGTATTGTCATGCATGAAAAAGGGCATTCATTCTCGGGACAAGAATATAATTTTGCCTCTTTATAAATCACTGGTAAGACCCCATATTGAATATGCTGTGCAATTTTGGGCACCTGTTCTAAAGAAGGATATTATGGCACTAGAAAAAGTGCAGAGGCGGGCTACAAAATTAATAAAAGGAATGGAACATATAGGCTATGAAGAAAGGTTAACAAATTTAAACCTATTTAGTTTAGAAAAACGTTGCCTGAGAGGGGATATGATAACATTATACAAATATATTCGGGGCCAATACAAACCATTGTGTGGAAATCTATTCACAAACCGGACTTTACATAGGACACGAGGCCATGCGTTTAGACTGGAAGAAAGAAGATTTCACCTAAGGCAAAGGAAAGGTTTTTTTACTGTAAGAACAATCAGGATGTGGAATTCTCTGCCTGAGGAAGTGGTTTTATCAGAGTCCATACAGATGTTCAAGCGGCTACTAGATGCATACTTGCAAGAACAGAATATTCAAGGATATAATCTTTCAATGTAGGGTAATAACTGCTTGATCCAAGGATAAATCTGGCTGCCATTCTGGGGTCAAGAAGGAATTTTTTTCCTAGCTTGTTGCAAAATTGTGCTTCAAACTGGGTTTTTTTGCCTTCTTTTGGATCAACAGCAAAAAACAAATGTGAGGAAGGCTGAACTTGATGGACGCAAGTCTCTTTTCAGCTATGTAACTATGTAACTATGTAACCTCTTGCGCTGTTTCCCACTGATGTGCGAGGCGCTTCTGCTTTTATGTGGTTTGTACATACAGTATCATTGGTAGGTTACATTTACGTTTCTCTATCACCCGATCTCCATGAGTTCCACATCTCCCATGCTGCTTGTGTGGTGTTGGATGGGGGGAACAGTGTTTTGAAGCTCGTTTCAAACGTTCTTTGTGTGTCCAGGTCCTCAATGACCCGTTTCATACCAGGGGTATTTGTTTGTTTCCAGTGTTGAGCAATTAAGCGCTGTGCTGTCAACATTATATGTAACAGGAGTTTTTGCTTGGCTCTTGGTAAGCTTTTTGGGAGGTCGGTTATTAACATCTGGCGGGGCGCAAAAGGAATAGAGCAGCCAGCCGCCGCTTGTGCAATTTTATGGATCCCCGCCCAGAAAGTCTGGATGCGGGGGCACGTCCACCAGACGTGCAGGACCGTGCCCTCAGCCCCATTGCAGCGCCAGCATGTATTAGAAGTGGCAGGAAATAGTTTGTGCAGCCTGCACGGTACCATGTACCATCTATATAATGTTTTATGGCTTTGCTCCAGATGGGCGGCTGATTTGATCAGGAGCCTGGGCAAACGGAATATGCGCTCCCAGTCTTTTCTCAGGAGGGAGCAGTTTAGGTCCGCTTCCCACATTTGCGCTGTTTTTGAGGCAGCGAAGGGTAGATGGCGTGACAGGAGCTTGTAACTCATGGAGATCGGTTTACATGCAATGGGTAGTAGTCCCTTAATAAGCATTAATTCCCACCCCGTTGGGGTTTCTGGGGTCAAATTGGACCCAGCATCTCTACAGTAGTGTTTGGTCAGAAACGACCGTAGTTGGATATAGGAGTAGTGTGAAGTGGGAGGCAGTGAGTATCGGATTTGCATCTCTTCAAAGCTAAGCATTTTGCCCTGATTGTACAGATGCGTCAGGTGGGTGACACCCCGGGTCTGCCATGGTATGGCGTGGAAAGTGGGGATGCAATATGTGAAAGACTTTATCGGTGTTGCCAGGGAGAACCCCTTGTGGCCGCTAAACAGTGTCGCATTTTTGTCCCAGAGCCGTAAAAGTAAAGTAGTCGAGTGTGGTGCTAGGGGCCATTGCGGTCTGTACTTTTTTGGTATCCATATCACATCGGCCAGTGTGTGTGGGGCCACCAACTCTCGTTCTAGGAGTACCCACTGCGGTGGTGGTGTCTGGAGGAAATGTGGGAGGGCAGTGGCGATAACAGTTGCGTGGTAATACGTGTGTACATTAGGCAGTGCTAGGCCACCGTCTCGTTTGGGTGCGTTTAGTAAATTCTGTGCCTTTCTGGGTTTGCTCCCCTTCCATACAAATTGATTTATGTCTGATTGGACCGTTTTGAGGAAGGATCTGGGGAGTTCTATTGGTAGGGTACGGAACAGGTAGAGCAACCTAGGGAGGATTGACATTTTGATCGTTATAATTCTTTCGGTCCAAGACAGATATAGTGGCGACCATTTTTTGAGCAAGTTACGGCAGTTGTTCCATGTGGACACATAGTTTGCCGCGAATAGTGCAGTGTGGGCCTTCGTGTATGTAATCCCTAGATATGTGATAGTATCAGACCTCCATTCGAACGTATATTCCCGTTGGAGTTGTGTGGTAAGTTTGGTCGGTAGGGATACGCCTAGTGCTTGGGTCTTGGATGTATTGAGGGAGTAATAGGACACCCTCCCATATTCCTTTATCAGTTGCATAACTGCTGGGAGTGTGGTGTGGAGATGTGTCAGGTAGAGTAGAATGTCATCTGCAAAAGCTCCTACCTTAACCACTTTGTGGCCTATCTTAACCCCATGGATTTCCTCATTTGCTCTGATCTCTTCCAACAAAGGTTCCAGGGCCAGGACGTATAGCAATGGGGAGAGTGGGCACCCTTGCCTCGTCCCATTTGTGATCTGAAAGGGAGAGGAGAGGAATCCCGACTGGAGCACTTGCGCCGAAGGATTCGCATAGAGTGCGAATATTTGTCGGCACACCTGGAGCGGGACTCCATATGCCTCCAATACTCCTTGGAGGAAGGGCCAGCCCAGGCGGTCGAACGCCTTTTCGGCATCCAGCGCTAGCAGGAGACCGCCCTCTCTGGCCCCCCTGAGCTGCTGGAGGACCACCGACAGTTTCCGAGTGTTGTCCAGGCCTTGTCTACCTTTTACGAATCCTGTTTGGTCGTCTTTGATAAGGGAGGGTAGTATGGGGGCAAACCGGTTTGCCAGGATTTTTGCATACAGTTTAGCATCTGTGTTGAGCAGGGAGATGGGGCGGAAGTTTTTGCATTGGTCAGTCGGTTTTCCGGGTTTCGGCAGAGTCACTATAGTGGCCCGCAGCATTTCTGCCGGCAGTGCTCCCCTCTCCATTGCCTGATGGAAGGTTTCCAGCAGGTGTGGTGCTAATGTTTGGGCATACTTTTTGTAATAGAGGTTTGAGAGCCCATCTGCTCCGGGGGACTTGCCAATCGGTAACTCTTTGATAGTGTCTAATATCTCTTTCACTGTGAGGGGGCATGTCAGGGTTTCGACTTGGCTACTCGATAGTTGGGGCAGTTTGATGCGGGCAAGAAATGTTTTTACCTCATCTACAGTGGGGGTATGTGTATCGGGGTCGTCCCTCAAGTTATACAATTTGGAATAGAATGTGGCGAACGCGTCACCAATCTCTTGGGGTCCTAGCCTTTTTGTCCCATCTTCCCCCATTACGTGCGCTATCCTATTAGTTGCCAGTTTGTCTCGCAGTCTTGCTGCCAGGTACTTGTTGGCTTTCCCCCCCGAGTGATAGGTAGTCGCTTTCAGTCTGTTTAATAAGTACTCAGTTTTCGTTGCGTTTAGTGCATGTAGTTTACGGTAGGTCTGCTGGAGTTCCGCAGCCAGAACCTTATTTGGGTTGGTTTTATTTCTAGCTGTCAGTGTTGCTATTTGTTCGTGACATCGGAGTAGATCTTCCTGTCTCTGTCTTTTTAGGTGTGCGGCTCTCTTAATGAATAGGCCTCGGATAACCGCTTTATGTGCTAGCCAAACCGAGGTTTCTGATACCTCTCCCCCACTATTCAGACGGAAGAAGTGTTCTAGTTCGTCATTTATAAGTGTAGCAAAGGAGTCGTCAGATAGTAGCGACTCATTGAGCCTCCAGTTCCCTCGTCCCTTGAATTGGAACGCGTCGTGTAGCGTGAGATAAATTGGGCTGTGATCTGACCAAGCAAATGAGCCTATTTTACAATCCGCCATTTGGGCCAGAGACCTGCTATCTACTAGGAATGTGTCGATGCGGGAATAGGTGTTATGCACCGCGGAGTGGAACGTGTAGTCCCTCTCCGTGGGGTGTGTGACCCTCCAGCCATCGTACAGGCCGTGTTTTGAGATCAGGGTGGTGAGCCTTTTGCATGTGTTGGATAGGCGTCTACCCCTATTACGGGATGGTGTAGCTGATGTGTCCAGTTGTGGTGACTGGATGAAGTTAAAATCCCCGCACAGAATCAGGCCTCCCTGTCGGTGGTCCTCCACAGTCTGGAGAAGTTTGTTTAAGAAATTTGTCGAGTCGGAGTTGGGAAAATATGCCGTAACTAGTGTGTATTGTGTGGCATTAAAAAGGCCCACTAATATAATAAACCTCCCTTGCGGGTCAATGTATTGGCTCTGGACCTCCAGAGCTATGTCTCTGCTGATGAGGATTGACACCCCTTTTGTTTTGTTGGCCGACCGGGCGTGGAATTGAGTAGGATAGTGTTTAGCGTATAACTTTGGTTCCGTGGAGGACTTAAAGTGAGTTTCCTGGATGCACGCTATATCTATATGTTGTTGTCTGAGCGTCTGAAATAGTAGGTTTCTTTTAGTCGGGGAGTTAAGCCCCTTCACGTTATAGGAGACTATTTTCATAATAGAGTGTTAGATTTTGAGCGTGTGGTGACTCCTGGCTCCCATAGTGAGAGCACCTATGTAGACGTGTGATGGACAGCATGCAGTACATATTATCACAGTACATATCAATAAGAGTTGTGGTGAGGAACACAGTGTTGTAGTTGATCGAAATCCAACTTGGTGGGGGGAGGGGGGTGGGGGTAGAAAAAACAAGGGGGAACATTTAAGAACAAGTTACAAAGAGCTCAAGTCTCTTGAGCTGTAATGTGCTCAGTAAAACTGGGCACAAGTAGTGGGTGACGTGGCTATAGGTCAGTTTGATGTGGTATTGACCTAGATTGGGGGAGGTGATAAGGAGTCGCTCAGAGGGGACCATGGAGTGGTAGTGGCATGGGAGTATTGGGTTGTGAGAGACTCTGCTGCAGGATGCTCAACCACTTTGTGTCAATGCCCTACTCTGTCTGTGCTCTGTTAACCGGAGCAGGTGTGGAGTTTTGGGGTATGAATGCTATTGGGCAGCGCCTATTCTAGCCGTCAACTAAATGCTGCTGCGGTGTTATGCATAGTAAGTGGTGCACACAACATTAAGCATTATACAAGCCTATTTCAGGGTAGCAAATGAGCGATGACACAACATTAAAATTGAAATGGTTAGTAAAACAGTGGTCAGCAATCATGCAGCGTATACTCAGCCTTCACGTTAGGCTCTGGACCAGTCCACCGACAGTCTTGGTATCTTTTTCGCGGGTTGCACCGGTACATCCGGTTTGGGGAGCCCCCAGTCTTCCAGCTTCTTCAATCCTTCCTCCATTGACGTGATAGGGTGGTTGGAGTTGTCGTGATGGACGATAAGTTTCGCTGGGAAGCCCCACCGATACGGAACCTCCTGCGCTCTCAGTGCGGTGGTGATAGGAGCGAGTGACTTGCGGAATTGGAGTGTGTGCGCTGACAAGTCCGCGAAAATCTTCAGGTTTTCATATTGGGAGGGTAGGTTATCTTTTCTAGCTGCTTTAACAATCTTCTCCTTGATGTGGAAGAAATGCACTCTGGTGATTACATCTCTGGCCGTTGAAGTAGGCAGATGCTGGGGTCTCCTGAGTCTGTGCGTTCTGTCCAGAACTACTTGATCTGGGTGGACCTCTGGAATCAGCTCTAGAAAAAAGGCCTGGAGGTAACTGTGTAGGGCTTCATTTGTGATTGATTCAGGAATACCTCTGATGCGCAGATTATTCCTCCTAGATCTATCCTCCAGGTCAGCAAGTTTCAGGTTTTGTTCTTGGATTAGTTGCTGCATCTGGCATAGCTGGTCAGCCATGTTGTTGTGCGCGGAGGCATGTTTGCTGACTGCATTCTCTATATGTGATGTGCTTAGGCCCAGGTCCTGTATATCTCTCTTAAGCTCACCTGCTAGTGATTTGAGCTGCCCCTCGATGGTGCTTTGGATCTGCATTGTGAAGTCTGCCATAAAGGACTTCATTGTGGCCAGTGTGAGGGGGCTGTCCTCCAGTAGTGAGGTGGGTGAGGAGGGAGGAGATGGAGAAACTTCCCTGGATCCGTGGCCGCCGCCATCTTGGATTTCCTCACGGCCTTGTTTCCCATGCGCGGCTTTTGCCATGAAGAATAGTGTTTTGTCGGCTTTCGCCGGTCTTTTGGCGGATCTGTGGGACATAGCTCCGTTTTCCTCTCGGTTCGTGCCGAGATTAATTGTTGCAGCCCGGTTATTTTTTCCCCTGTATCCTGCGGCTCCCCGGAGCTCTAGCAGAGCACGTCCATGCGGCTCGGATGCTAGGCCACGCCCCCCATGTAAGGTATTTTAACTTACCTAGGGTTAAAAATATATTTGGCCATTTGAAAAAAAAAAAAGAATTTATACCACCTGTTTTCCACCATGCTGATAACTACCAGTTTTTTCATTTTCCCTTTAACATTCTTACTGTTAGAAATTTTTTCCAACTCAGCTCTACTATCCTGGTTTTGCACAGTGATGGTGAGGGCATGAAAGCTGTACATTGTGTACCTGCTGGTTATCTGCTTGCGACTGTTGAAAATTCAGCAGCAGATCAGGTAGACATGATTGCTTGGGCGGGGAGGTGACTTTTCTCATCATTTGCTCTAGGGAGGAGAAAATAGTGTGTGTATGGTTTCATTTATTTTTTTTTTGTAAATATGTTTTTATTTCGGTTTATATTGTCGAGCGTTTCATTTTTTTAAGTAAGTAGAACATTTGATATATTTTGCCGTCAGCTGCTGTGCACAATGTTTGACAATTATAATTAGCACATTTACAGGTGTATTCACTTAAAGGGACAATATAGTCACCAAAACAAGTTTAGCTTAATAAAGCAGTTTTGGGGTATAGATCTTCACTGCTCAGTTCTCTGCCATTTAGGAGTTAAATCACTTTTGCTTCAGTTTTTGCAGCCCTAGCCACACCTCCCCTGGGTGTGACTGACACAGCCTGCATGAAAACATGTTTTCACTTTCAATCAGATTCAATTTTAAAAGTTTAACGGAGCAGCAGATAGGGAATTCCTAATCATACAAACATTTGCAATCATGGGGTTAATACTGCTGCAGTCTGCCATGGCATCCGAGGCAGACAGGCAGCAAGCAGTCTTACTGTCCCAGCCCAGTCAGAGCGATCATGCCTGCGGTAGTGAAATCTGATCTGCCTCCCTGAACCTCTGTGCAGTGGCGTACATACCAGGGTCGCAGCTGCGACCGGGCCCGGCCCACCAGGGGGCCCGGCCGCCCCTGCAACCCGGTATGTACCCACAGGGCCAGCCTCTTCTCCTGGGAGGCCCAGGAGGAGGCCACCTCAGGGCCCTGCTGACACCCGGAAGGCGTGCTTCCTCTTCCGCTCCCTCGCGCACCGCACTGATACCGGAGCCGGAAGATGACGTCATCTTCCGGCGCCGGCATCCATATGCGGCGCACGAGGGAGCGGAAGAGGAAGCACTCAGGGGAGAGTGCTCCCTCGCGTGCCGGACACCCAGACAGCCAGCCCGCCCAGCAGCACCACTGGACCCCAGGGAATCCCCCCAGCTCTCCAAAAGGTAAGGAGGCTGGGGGGATTAAATTTTAAAAAAAAATGTGTGTGTGTGTTTGTGTTAGTGTGTGTGTGTGTTAGTGTGTGTTTGTGA